TTTGCCTCTTAACTTTATTCTATAACAAATGCTAGTACTATTTTTTGAGTCAAAAGCAAGAACGAAAAGTCCTATTTTCTTTCTGAATCGAGATGTGTATATACTATATAGAGATATTGCATTGACGTAATGATTTGATATCTCAAACAATACATAAACCGAAATGGAGACTCCACAAAACATGATCTCTTCGTCGCCGGGAAGAATTTATCTCCGGCCGATGATTCTTTCCGACGTCGATGACTACATGGTTTGGGCAACTGACTCTAAAGTCGCACGCTTTTGCACGTGGGAGCCTTGCACGAGCCGAGACGAAGCAATCAAGTACATAACCGATAAGGTCTTAACACACCCTTGGCTCCGAGCCATTTGCTTAGAGGACGACCGTCCGATCGGCTACATCTTGATCATGCCAGTCGATGATATCAGAAAAGAGATTGGATATGTCTTAGCGAGAAAGTATTGGGGAAAAGGGTTTGCGACGGAGGCGGTGAGGCTAGTAACGGCTGAGATATTCAAAGAAATGCCGGAGATTGAGAGGCTTGAGGCACTTGTTGATGTAGAGAATGTTGGATCTCAAAGAGTTCTTGAAAAAGTTGGGTTTACAAGAGAAGGTTTAATGAGGAAGTTTATATGTATTAAGGGAAGTGTTAGAGATACGGTCATGTTTAGTTTCTTGCCTTCTGATATTTTGAAGTGATTCACTGATTTGATCAAACAAAAAAAAAGATTAATTCACATTCTATATATGTTGGATTTTGTGTATGCGTCATATGAAAATATGATGTAAGAAACTCTGTTTTTATCTTTGTGTTTTGTGAGCTACTGAGCTTGCTCATTAATAAACGTTTTACCAATTTGAGTTTGTGGATCAATGAATGTTTTACCAATTTGAGTTTGTTGACTAATAACCCAAGCAAAAGTATTGAAACTTTTTGTAGTGGCTACTACAATATCACTTTTGTTTTGTTACATATTCTTTGTGGAGAATGGTGTTTTCGGATGATTGATAAGAGATCCCCAGTCTCAAAAACAAAAACTCATCGATCACACTACAGTGGTTATTATACCTATAGTCTATAGATGACAAACGAAGTACTCATGAAGACACAAATTCATAAAGTGAATCAAGAGAAGATTTAACAAAGCTAAAACTTATCTTAGCACAACCATTACTTCCGAGTAAAAACAAGGCGAACACCATCACACACAC